CCACAGGCCAGGCTGAGGGACCACCTCCCCCCCAAGTGCACAAATTTTTGTGCACCGGGCCTCTAGTCCTATATAATAAAAGGCTAATATGCAAATCGACCAAATGGTGGAACAACTGGTTGCTATGATGTACACTGACCACCAGGGGGCAGACGCTCAACACATGAGCTGCCCTTGGTGGTCAGTGGGCTCCCACAGGGGGAGTGCCGCTCAGCCAGAAGCCAGACTCACAGCTGGTGAACGCAGCAGTGGTGGCAGGAGCCTCTCCTAAGCTAAGGATGTCTGACAGCTTAGGCCCAATCCCCAAGGGCTCCTGGACTGTGAGAGGGTGCAAGCTTGGATGAGCCCTTCTCCCCTGCCCCCCTAGTGCATGAATTTCATGCACCGGGCCTCTAGTGCTTCATATAAGATACGCACATGCTGCAACATGAATGAATCCTGAAAACACCCTAATGAAAGAAGCTAGTCATAAAAGACCAATATTATATGATTCTAGTTATATGAAATGTCCAAAATAGGCAAATCTGTAAATACAGAAACTAGATTAGTGGTTCCATATCTGGGCAAAATGGGGAGTGACTACTGAGTACAATATTTCTTTTGGGGTTGGTATAAATGTTCTAAAGTTGATTGTGGTGAGGATTATACAACTCTATGAATATATTAAAAAACACTGAATGGCATACTTTAAATGGGTGAATTATATGATATGTGAATTATATTTCAATAAAGCTGTTATATACATATATATTTAAAAGATATACAAATGGTCAATGAGCATGTAAAAAGATGCTTTTCATCATTAGTCATCAGGAAAATACAAATTAAAACTACAGTGAGATACCACAAAACACCCATTAGAATGACTAAAATTCAAGACTCTTGATACTAAGTGTTGGCAAGGATATAGAGTAACTGGAATTGTCACACATTGCTGTCGTGAATGTACAATGGTGCAACCAAGTTTGAAAACAATTTAATTGTTTCTTATAAAGTTAAACATACACCTACTACAAGACCCAGCAATTCTACTCCTAAATAACCACTCTAGAAATGGTAACATGTGTCCACAAAAAGATTTGGACAAGACTATTCGTAGTGGTCTTATTAATAATGGTAAAAAACTGGGGTGGGGGGATTCAGGAGAGTTGATAAACAAACCATGATACAGTCATATAATGAAAAATTCCTCAGTAATAAAAAGAAAAGAGTTAGTTATACACAGTACATCATGAGTGAATCTCAAAATGTTATGCTGCGTGGAAGAAGACAGGCACAAAAGAATTCATATTATATGATTCTATAGATAAAATTCTATAACAAGAAAAACTAATATATAGTGATAGACAGTAGACCAGTAGTTACTTGGCTGGGATCAGGGCTGAAAGCTGGCAGGGGAGAGGAGTGAGATGGAGGGAGAATCATTGCAGAATGCAAAGGGTCACAAGGGAACTTTTTGGTGTTAGAAATATTCTATACCTTATTTATTTATGATGGTAGTTTCATATTTGTCAAAATGCATAAAACTGTACAGTTAAGAATGTGTACATTTTCCCTGACCAGTTTGGCTCAGTGGATAGAGTGTTGGCCTGCGGACTGAAGGGTCCTGGGTTCGATTCCAGTCAAGGGCGTGTACCTCGGTTGCACGCACATCCAGAGTGGTGGGTGTGCAGGAGGCAGCTGATCAATGTTTCTCTCTTATTGATGTTTCTAAATCTCTATCCCTCTCCCTTCCTCTCTGTAAAAAAAAATCAATAGTATATATATATATGTTTAAAAAGAATGGGTACATTTTATTATATATAAATTATACCTCAAAATTTATTTGAACAAAAATGCTAAATATTATAAATTAGGGAAGTATATGGCTAGGGCTTAAATCATAATCTTTGGGAAGATAAATTTTATATTTTCCCTTCCAAAACATGGTCTAGAATTTTTTTATTTTTGTTTTGTTTTTATTAGAGGTATTGGTATAAGAAACATTTTACTTTTCTCTTAACTATACTAAATATAACACAAAACTGGAAAAGTGCAAGAGTAATGATGAGTGTAATGAGTAATGACAACTAAGGGTTGGCCTCAATTTGTGAGTACTGAGAACTATGGTGCACTAGAGGGCGTGTGTTCTAAAATGGTGAGTAGCTATTGGCCCCAGCCAAATGTTGCCATATAAAAATGAGTCTGGCCCTAACTGGTTTGGCTCAGTGGCTAGAGCATCGGCCTGCGGACTGAAGGGTCCCAGGTTCGATTCCGGTCAAGGGCATGTACCTTGGTTGTGGGAACATCCCCAGTAGGGGGTATGCAGGAGGCAGCTGATCGATGTTTCTCTCTCATCGATGTTTCTAACTCTCTATCCCTCTCCCTTCCTCTCTGTAAAAAATCAATAAAATATATTATTGAAAAAATGAGTCTGGTTTTTGGAATCATAAAGATAATTTCAAAATGCAGATCATTTATGACAATCCTCCAAATTTTTAATGTTGGTAACTAATTAAAACACCATATGGATCAATAATATGTGGACTGAATAGAATCTGAATGGTACCAATTTGAAATTTCTGAGCTATTTTCTAGAGATATCTTGGTATGTTTAACAGGTAAATAGAAACTTTATTATTTCATTTTTCTGTTTATTTTCTTCTATTACTTTCTCTTGACCATGGGCCCCTGATACAGTTATTTACTTTTTGAACATCAGATTAAATTATCATCATAATGTTACTGGGTATCAAGGCAAATTATTTATTTTAACTTTAAAATAGTTACATATCATAATAAAGACTTTATATCACTTTATAGATTTAATACATGATGCTGTATATTTGAAGACACCATAAAATCTTCCTTTCCCTTTTCTGTGTCTAGCACTCTGACCTATTCTCTTTAAAAATTCTTCTACCAGGGATAACCATCTAGGCTTTGGGTAGACTGGTGTGCATTTGCTTCACAAAGTCTATTTATTCTTCTTCCTACTATATCCAAAGCCCTCTGTCTTCTGTTTTTGAAAGATCCCTTGCTGATAACAATTCTTACCCCAATTCTTATCTCCTTAAAGCAGTATCCTAACATCCACAATAATTTCTAAAATTCACTTTTAAATATATTTATTTACTCTATAATAAACTAAAAGTAAACTTTCCCAACTCCAATATTGTTTATTAAATAATACATATATACTTCAAAAAGATATAATTCATAGTAAGAATGTTCCATTTACTATAATGGCATATATAGCAAACAAAATAACTCAAAAGATTGAAATTCAAAAGACATTTTTGTCTTCTTAAATTATACAAGTAAAAAAATGCTAAATGAGTAAGTGTTTTGGTAACAAAGGAAGATTTTCTATTGTTGAAGAGAGATCATAAGATATTATTGAGCAAAGTTCAGCTGTCAAAAAAATAACACTGCTGGTTTGTGTCCAGGCTACGTAAACAGAAACTGAGATGGCAATTAATTGTTTGTAAAAGAAAACAAAGTCACTAATTGAAAATGGCTAGGAATTTCAAAACTGTAGAATTTTAGGACAAAAGGATTTTAGGATTTAGCTAGTCAAATTTTCATATTTTTCCAAGGAAGAAAATGGGGCTTGGTGAAGCTCAAAGCTATAAATTCTGGCAGAGCCAGAGCTAATATTGAATGCTGAAATTTAGTTATATTTCCCCAATCACCTGTATCGAATATCGTTTCAACCTGAAAATGTTCATACAAGTGGTATTTACTATTATGTACTTACATTCTAGTTCAGGTACTTTTGTAGGCAAAAATACCTCCACTTTAGTGTCATCTGAAGGTAGATCCTGATTGCTGACATATGTAGTCAGATGTTCCAAAGTTTCTGTCACTCTCGGATTTAGTCCTGCTTGTTTCGCGCACTCTGTGCTCACAGGAGTAACCACAAGGCTTTCTTCCTCAATTGAAAATTTCTTCTTCAAATCTGTAACTGAGTATTGATTGTTGGGCTCTTCTGTTCTTGGCACTTAAAAAACAACAATGGAAAAAAACAAAACAAAACGCCACACAACAAATAATCTGAAACAGTTCACAGGGCAAAAGAGATGAAAAATACAATAAACAGGACCACTGAAAATTTCTCGTGCAATAGATTTTCACACATTAGGGAAAAAATGTGAAACTTAAAGTGATATCTGGTATTTCATCTTCCAGATGCTAATATGTGTAAAAATTCAAAATATTACAGCATAGTAGCCATATAAAAGATTTACTTTAATCTGTGGAAATATCATGAAGTTAAAATTATTCTAATATTTAGTAGGAGATCGGACTACTACTTGACTATTTTAGCATTTACTAAATTAGTACATTTGACAACATTTTTAAAGAGTTAACACAAGATATATTTGAACAGAAATTCTGATTCATTATAATGAGATTAAACAAGAAGATAAACTTGATCCGATTTTATGATGACTATCAGCTTAGATAACAAGGCACAGAGCTTTCTGCTTCAATACCTTTAGCCTAAATAGGGACAAATCATAATGTATGGAGGAACTGAAGTTGCACAACTACTTAGCATTTTTATCTGCATTTAAGCATCAACCCAAAATTAGGATTATGAATTTTAAAATTCTAATTTTAGAACTGTGTCTTTTTATAATGATGGTAATAATAACACTAAATATTTTATCAGACAATTACATTTCTACTGATTGTACATTTTTTGTCTATACACTTCATTTAGCATTCAAAATCAATTAATATTTACCTGGAAGCAAACATGAGTTCTGAGAGCTTCTGCAGCTTTCGGATTCCAACACTGTACAGTCTTCATTAGCTGATTTTTCAGCAGTAAGCAAACTACTGGGGGGTGGGGGGAGTAGGAAAGGAGTTAGAGTTTAATACATTAATAATATTATGTCTTTTTTGAATAATAAATATTTTTAAGAAAAGTAGTTCTTTACATTCAAAAGCAAAGTGAAGAATTAACTATTTTATAAATGTATAAGCTGAAGTAGAGAGTTCCATAGACCAAATTTCAAATTCTTCCTTTCTCCTCCCCTGGGAAGGTTTGGCAATTTGTCAACCCTTTCATTGGTCCTGCTTGCCAGTAACTTAATTACTACCTCTATCTCTCTCAGTGAACCTGGAGCCAGAGGAGGCTGGCTTGGGAGGGTTTTAGCACTTTATTCCATAAATTGTGCTAGCACCAACCCTATAAGTCATTCAAAATAATTTTTTTTTTACATAAAATTGTTCTGCTTACCATACAAAACAGCAGTTTCAACACCAACTTTTACAAAATTGCTGTCCCCAAGTCCATTCTAAACCAAAAATTTGGAGCCTCTACTGGCTGAGCATCAGAACTATGAAAAAGTTCTGTCTGCTCTACCTTCTCAGGAAGTGACAGGTCCTAACATTTAGTTCAGTTCCTTCAATTTTGATGGGTGTGTGAGTGAGAGATATGTGTCTGTGCATTTTTGGTCCTAAAGGGAGAAAATATGCAATCAATATAAATTATAGCACATCAACAACTATGAAGATGCTAGCCTTGGTAGGGAAGTGAGCATTAATTCACAACCTCCTTAATCTATGCCCCCAAACTTTCTAAGCCCTCCTAAATAACAACTGATGGTATTCTGTTTCTCTCTTCATATGAAACATACTAGAGGCTCAGCACGTGAAATCGTGCAAGACCTAAACCTGCCACACCGCAAGACTCAGAGTCCCTCCCGCCACTGCCACGGGACCCACCAATGCACCTCCTGGTGACTGGTCATTTGGTCGTAATGGCGTTACGGCCACTTGGCCTTTTATAATGTAGATATGAGCATGCTAATGATAAGTACTGCTAGTTAAATTGACAGTCCTGGGCTAAGAAAGCTAGGTTTTATGTCTAAACAATCCAAATTACCCACATAATAAAATAATCTGATATGTAGTGGCCAAATTTGAGAATCTAAACAATTGTTGAACCTTACCAAGGTCTATGGCAACTGGACACATCTGATTGTAGGTAATTATTTTAAAGTAAAAAGAAGGGGAAATATTTAGGCCGGCCAAGTCCAACAGGAGACTGTAATATAGACATGTATTCTTATGCTTAATGGAAATTTCTGAAGACATATCTGAATTTGATATCTTCTTTGATTATATATAAAGATATTCATAATTAAGAAATCAGCTAATATG